GATACTTCTAAGAAATTCAACGTAATTATCAATTATTTCCACAAATTCAAAAAATAATTTTAGTAATTTCAGGAAAATTCCGGTAATTCACAAATAGTTTTAAATTTGCAAATAATTCTGGTTATTCACAAAAAGTTCGAGTAATTCCAAACAATCCAAAAATACTTTTAATATTTCCAAATACTTCCAAGCAATTTCGATTAAATTCCGAACAGTTCAATAATTCCAATTCCAAAAATTCTACCGAAACGCCATTAACTCCACTAATTAAATCCACTATTTTATTCAGAGTAATTTCTATAATTACAAATTAATGGCTGTAATTCGAAAACAATTGCTGCAATTTCAAAATAATTCCGATACTTCTATCAAGAAAAAAGAAAAAAATTTGTTTCAAATTAATTGCAATAAATACAAATTAATTTTCGTAATTCCACAATAAATTGTGGATAAATACAAATTAATTTTCGTAATTCCGCAATAAATTCTGTGATTCCAAATTGATTGTTTAAAGAAATTCAACCTAATTTTAAAAAGAAATTATCTCCAATAATTCCAAAACAATTCCATTAATTCCAAAAAGAATTTCAGTAGTTCCAGAAAAATTTCTGTAGTTTACAAATAATTCCAGTAATTAAAATTGTTTTCAAATTAATTTCTTAATTCCAAATTAATTCCCGCAATTTCAACGTAATTGGAAAACTCGAGTAATTCACAAATAGTTTGAGTAATTTACAAATAATTCTAGTGAAAAAATCTGTAATTTACAAATAATTCCAGAAATTAAAATTGTTTTCAAATTATTTGCTTAATTCCAAATTCCAACTTATAATTTCCGTAATTCCTACTTAATTTACGTAATTTTAAAATGATTCCGATAGTTTTAAAAAATTCAACATAATTATCAAAAGAAATAATTATCTCTGATAATTCAAAAAATAATTTTAGAAATTTTAGGAAAATTCCGGTAATTCACAAATAATGTAGCTTCAAAATTTACAAATAATTCTGGTTATTTACTAGTAATTCTAGTAATTCCAAGGTAACTTTAATAATTCCAAATACTTCCAAATAATTCCAGGCAATTTTGATTAAATTCCAAAAATTTGTTTAACTAATTCCAATTCCAAAAAATTCTGCCGAAATATTAGCATTTCCAAAAAATCTACCAAAATTCCAGTAACTCCACTTACTAATTCCATTGTTTTACTCAGAGTAATTTCTATAATTACATATTAATTTCTGCAGTTCGAAAATAATTCCGGTAATTTCAAAATAATTCTGATACTTCTATCAAGAAAATCTTCTAGGTATCTAAGAAATTATATTCATTAATTAAAAAAAATAATTATCTTTGATAATTCTAAAAGAAGTGTTTTTATAATTTCTATAATTCTAAATTAACTCCTGTGTATTCAACTTAATTTTTGTAATTCCAAATTAATTTCGATATGTAATTGTATCAAGAAAATCTCCTATTGAAGAAATTCAACGTAATTTTAAAACTAAATTATCTGTAATAATTCCAATAATAAGAGAAAAATTTCAGTAATTTACAAGTAGTTCGAGTAATTTAAAAAAAATTCGAGTAATTCAAAAAATCCGAAAATAATTTTAATAATTTCAAGTACTTCTAAATAATTCCAAGCAATTTCGATTAAATTCCAAAAATTTATACAACTAATTCCAATTCTAAAAAAATTCCACCGAAATTTCACCAATTACCAAAATTCCACTAACTCCATTGTTTCATTTCGAGTAATTTCTATAATTACAAATTAATTTCTGTAATTCCAAAATAATTCCTATAATTTCAAATTAATTCCGATACTTCTGTCAAGAAAATGTTTTATCTGAGAAATTCAACGTTCTTTTAAATAAGAAATTATCTTAGATAATTGCAAAAAAATCCAGCAATTTTTCGGATTAAAAAAATAATTTTGTTAGATTCCAAATTAATTTCGTTTGTCTAAGAAATTCAACGTAATTTTTAAAAGAAATTATCTCCAATAATTCGAGACAGATTTCCAGTAATCCCAAAAAGAATTCTAATAATTCTAGGAAAATTGTAGTAATTCCAAACAATTCCAAAAATTTGTACAACTAATTCCTCATTTCCCCCAATCTAAATAAAGTCTTCTTTGATGCAGAAGGCAAATAAGGAAAACACTTATCCCTACGTCCCTGGAGACCTCACCGACGCCCCATACCGACCACCAAGTCACGAAATTTTGTCCCAAAACCGTTTCAACCCCGCCGAAACACCCCCTAAAGGATATCCACGATACCGGGACGATTTCTCTAAACCGCTACAAATCGAAAAACCCCTCACAAGAAATGAAGTTGAAACCGAATACCAAAACCACAAAACAATGTCTGAGGAGTTTTACTCGCCCAAAAGTAGGGTAAAACCCCGCTCAAAACCCCCATCGCCCATAATCGCAGCGATAAAAAACTTCCAATTGGCCAAAAAACTCCATCGTGAGAATTTAGAACACGACCCTTTACCTGACACAATAACAAACTCGAAATACCGCCATTTGCAAATGCAACGTTGCCACGAGCCTGGACTTGCCTTAGAAAACGAGAATTTTGCCACAGGGGTGGGCTGGAAGGGCTATCCGGGCTTTGGGCCCACCAGATGCACAAAATTGAAGGTTTATCGGCCCAAAACCTGCGGTTTTGAGCCAAAAAAGAACGATGGGAGACCAAGTAGTGTCACTAGTTTTGATCTAAAATGGCGGTTTATTCGCCGGAGGAAAGTTTCGCCCATTGAATTGGCGATTTGTTGGGATTTGAGCCCCGAAAACCCCCACGATGAGCCTAAACCAACCCCGCATATTGACGGCTCGAATGGGTCTTTAGCCCCCGCGGTGTTCTCCCTAGTGCACACCCCCAAGGAGGAGGAGGAGGAGCTTTTTGAAAAATTGGAGGGGCCCCATGAGAGGGATTTGAAAAAGCGCGCCAAAAGTGCGTACAATTTGAATGGTTGTTTGCACGATGAAGGGGGGAGTCTCCACCAAAGCACTCCAAATTTGAGCGAGGAGAAAAAGGTTAAAAGTTCTTGTGTGGCGTGTGAAATGAGGAATGTTTCGCTTAAAGACAAAAGGAATAAGAATAAAGATGATTACAAAATGGCTTTTAAAGCTGGTGTTCCTCAGAAATGTGTAAGTAATACTAGCTATAGAAATGCTAGATTCAACTTTCAAGTACCTAAACAAAAAGATCCTTATAGTCCCAAAAACTATGCTATACGTAGTTTAGCTCCACCTTTTTCTTTGCAGAAGGATAAAAGACAGGACTATCCCGAACATTGGAGGCTTGCTACGGTTTATCAACATTCGTACAAACCGATTTATGCCAGAAAACGTCCCTTGTTGGACACAGTTTTCAAATAAAAATTTTATTTCAGGGTAGGTGACGACATCGTACTTGTAATCCGTTTTTGTTTACCAAAAAATAACTGTAAAATGAATAGAGAGATGCAAGAAAGTTATTTGTGTTTTTTTAAATACCCGTTTTACCTACTGAGTTGCTCACAATTTGTTAAAAATTCTACTTTGTTATTAATTATTAAAAAATAAAATAAGTCAAAAGATTAAGTGAATAGAAAACTTGCATTTATGAAGGACACTGTTTTACCCACTGAGTCGCTCACATTTTATCAACACAATTTCAAAATTCAAAAAACACCAAATTGGTTAAAACTAGTTGTGTTTGTTTTTTTGCTTTTTACTAGACAGCATCGAAAATAATTAATTTTTGTCTTTTTCGAATACTTTTTCAGCTAAAAACGCAAAATTTCGTTGAAAACAATCCAAAAATTCGCATTATTTTGCCTTTTTTAGGTGTTTTTTTGAGATAAAAACAAAGAGGATTCTAAAAATTTCGTCGAAAAATCAACACATCAAGTCGAAAATTACAATAATTTTGCATTTCTTGAGAGTTTTAGCACGTTTTTCAATTATAAACGCAATTGGTCAAAAATAAGCCAAAAAAACACAGAGTTGGGCCGAAAATGATATAATTTTCTCTTTTTTTGTAAATTCAAGCAGATTTTTAAAATTCGATTATTTTTTGTCTATTTCTTTAATAATTAATAAAATATGAATCAAATTTGATGTGAAATTAGTTTTAGTTAATTCAACTTGCAGTTTATTTTCATGTTATTTTAAAAATACCCGCCATGAAGGACACTGTTTTACCCCCTAAGTTGCTCACAATTTGTAAAAAATTCTATTTTTTCTATTTTGTTATTATTTATTATTAAAAAATAAATTAAGTCAAAATATTAAATGAATAGAAAACTTGCAAGAAAATTTAATTTAATTTATGAAGGACACTGTTTTACCCACTGAGTCGCTCACTTTTTTCCCCCATTTCTTTATTAATTAATAAAAATGAATCAAATTAT